CTCTAGAACCAGAAGTAGCTGCTATAGCTGCACAGCATCAGTCAGAAGTTAAAGGCCTTCCTCCACAAAGATATATGGTAGTTGATATAGGAGGAGGTACAGTTGATATTACTGTACATGATAAGAGTAATGGGGGAATTAGTGTAGTACTACCACCAATGGGGAACACCTGGGGAGGAACAACCATCAATGAAGCATTGTCAATGCTACTACAAGAAGCAGTAGATGATAAAGGTTTTGTGTCTTTCATAAAGTCAGATCCAATTAGTGCCAAGGCAACACTAAATAAGCTCTTCTACGAAGAATTTGAGAAACACAAAAAAGTATTTGGTGATACAATAGTGGGTTTACATGAAGTAGTAATAAGCTTACCAAGCAAATTAGTACAATTCTATGGCAGTGATAAGCTTCATGAAGCAAACCAGGTGAACATGCATTATGATCCAGGAGATGATTCATTAACAATAGGATATAGTCAATTGGAAGAGAAGGTATTCCAATTCACAATGGATATGATCGTAGAGTGTGTGAGAGCAGCTTTTGATGAGTTAAAGCCTAATGGAATTGATACAGTTTATCTAGTAGGAGGGTTTGGAGGGTGTAAGTTTGTTAGTCAAAGGATAGAGGAAGCTATCACTCAGCATTGTGGTATTCTTTATGATAATATAGTGTGTCCTGTACAACCAGATCTTACTGTTGTATCAGGAGCAGTAATGTGGAGGAAAGATCCTAACATAATCCAATCACGTGTTGCTGATGCTACCTATGGGACAGGTTTTGCTCCTGTATTTAACTCATCAATACATGATGAACACTACAAGTTCCTGAATAAAGAAGATGGTGGGCAATATTGCAGCTATGTCTTTGAAGTATTTGTACTCAAAGGAGACGAGATAAAGGATGAAGTATATAAAGCTAGACTAATACCTCTTTATCAAAGTACGACACAAGCTCATATCTCTATATACTGTACAGGAGATGATGGAGTTCAGTATATAAAAGATAAAGAAGGTAAACCAACAGTACGTAAGATTGGGGAGCTAATACTTGATCTTCCTAATCCTGATAATCTACCAAGAACCGAAAAAAAATTTGACGTATTCATGGATTTCAGTGGTACAGAGATACAAGCAAGAGCTCGGTATAGTATCACTGGAGAAGAAGTGAAAACAGTTTGTGACTTTCTATCAAACCAAGACTAATGGCAATAACTTCTAGCAAGAAAATGTACATGTAGTGTAACTTAAAATAGCATTAGTATTAGTTATAGATACCCGTAGTATTATAAAGAGAGTAACTTTTGTGTTTATTTAATTTTGAACCTTGATAATAGTATTAGTAATAGTATTACATTAATAAAGTAACCTCTGTGTGCATTTGATTTTGCTATTTTTAAATAATAATAATTAACAAATTCAAATTTTAACACATTGAATTTTACGTATGCCTTTCTCAGCAAAAATTAGCACCAAGATACAACATTAAAAAAACATTAGCCCTCATACATAACTATAACTACTATTAACTACAATGTATTAGTAGCAATAACTATCAATAACTATTTTTAACTACCGTATATCGGGTATATTTCAATGCATTAATAATTTTGGAAAAAGCAATCCATTGCGAAAATAAATATTATGAAATTTTAAAATATGCGGATAAAAAGGAATAGAAGATATGTGGTATTGTACAATTATTATGAACACGTGGCTTCATAACTATCCATGGCTACATTCTAGTCTAACTCGAAGGCCATAAAGAGCCTTCTTTGCCAGTTAGAAGTGTTGCTAAGGTTGATTCAGAAGTGGAGAAGTCAGCAAATGCTTCGAATGACTTACCAAACCAGGTGGTTGATGGAAATAATAGCAAGTAAAATATTTTCGGAATATAAAAGGCTTCCGAATTATTCCATCATTGAACTTAATATTTCCACGACTTTTCATGCATTGAAATAT